ATCGATAACCTTCGAAGGTTATCGATACGAATTTACTACGAAAATGATAATATTCGTAAAATTTCGTACATGAAAATATCAAAATCGATAATCTTCGAAGGTTATCGATATGAATTTACTATGAAATGATAATATTCGCAAAATTTTGCCATGTGAAAATATCAAAATTGATAACCTTCGAAAGTTAGTGAAGACCTTCGAAGGATAACATATCGAAAAACAGCGAAATACTTACGTTAATGTTAACTTCGAAGGTTTTCACTAGAAAAAATTTCCTGATGAGTGAACCATCAAAACTTTTTTTTTCTCTTTTTATGAGTTCCTAAGTTTTCGCGGGAGCTCGAACATAAGAAGAGGAGTATGTTACTATATTTTTTTTACCCTTTTCGTTGTTGTCGTATTTTCACTTCGTTCCTGTCTATCACATCCTGTTATCATTAATCTCTGTCTATATAGTTTCCCTTTTAATTGTCACTGTCATCCTACTTCTTTTTCTAATTTCTTGACATTACTTATCAATACTTATTACTACTTACTTTGTACTGTTCACTTTTATTTTCGTCCTTTTCACCATCTCTTCCATTTCAAATTCGTCCTAAAAATCTTGATCTTTTAGTCTCTTTCTCCGCTTATATTTATAAATTCTTTCTGCTACGTCAGTCACGTGTCACATGACTTCTAATATACTACAGATTGCGGATACTACAATTTACTGTTTGTTACTGTGAAAATTGCCATTTTACTTAGATGGTGACCACTCTTTCTAGTAAAAGACCACTCACCAAGGTGAAGATATAATTGTTTTGAACTGCCATCATCTTCACAGTAGCCAAAAAGTTAAGCAAGACCGGAATTGAGTTTATTTTATTATTTTCTTTCTTTTTCTTTCTTTTTTCTTCTTTCATCGTGTAATCAATTGATAGATTAATTTATATTTTTAGAATAGAATTGAAATATCTATAAAAATAGCTTTAATTTTTTTTCCTCATGTATTAGAGATCAATTTTTTTCAATTAATTAATCATTTATTCAATAGATCAATTAACTAGTCAATGAAATAATTAATGAATTTTGATTAAAATTTTTTGATAGTTTTTAAGCGAACTTAGGATAGATTTCTTTATTTTTTTTATTTCTTTTTGTATTTTTTTATTTTCTTAATAAAATCTTCATCTTGTCTATAAATAAGTTATATACATGTTTATTTATTCCCTTGTATTTGTTTATAAATTATAAGCAAAGTCTATATTGTATAATCTAGAGTTTTAAATAAACCATTGATCTTCAAACTGTTACGTAACTTAGCCGGAACTTACTTTCTTCATTCTTTGAACCTATCCATCCTTCAAAATCCTTACAAAGTCTTAGTGAAACTATTTTATTTTGTTCCTTATTGTCATCAGACTAGAATTTGTCATATTTTCTCTTCTCTGTATTCACTATCCTTCTTTTAACTTGTTCCCTTTTTGTTTTATCTAGTTTCCTTACCTTTATTATTCTATAGTATATAAAATTAGTTACTTTATATTTATTTGTCTTTCCATACTTCCAAAACTCATTGATAACTACTGGGCTAAATTTAAGCACTTGTTGTACTTGCCCCTTTGCTCTTCCAACAGGTAGTATCAATGTGAAAATATCAAAATTGATAATCTTCAAAGGTTAGCAAAGATCTTTGAAGAATAACATATTAAAAAATAGCAAAATATTTATGGTAACGTTAACTTTCAAAGGTGTTTATTAAAACAAATTTCCTGATGAATTAAATTATCTTTTTAATATCACTATTTATAAAAATATTAAAATTTAAAAATAATTAATTTTATACTTAACTTCAATTTGATTTTATGTAACAGAGAGTGATTTTTTATTAAATCATTCTTATGATAGATTGAAAACCTTGATTCTTGATTACATAATGATATATATTTTATTTTTGTAGTATCAAAATTTATAAAGTTATTACTGCTTTAAAATTATTAATTAAAATAATAGTATTGAAAAAGTTAAATACTTTATTAATTAAATCAAATATTTTTATCATGTAACTAAAGTTACGTTAGCTAATTATAATTGTGTTAGAATTTAGCTAGAATTTAATCTTTGAGTCAGTATTTAGCTTTGAGCTAGAATTTAGTCTTTGAACTGGAATTTAGTCATTAAGCTAGAATTTAATCAGAACAAAATTAATTATTTAGAGATGTAATTATTGAGCTAGCTTAATATTAATTGAGCCTACTATCCTTAGTCTGTATACACTATATAAGTTACTTGATTTTGTGAATACATTTTTTTTCTCCACTGTTTTGAATTAAAAATGTTATTTAAAATTTCATATAAACTAAAATCTTAAAAAAAAATTTATAAAATCTCTTTGCATTAGAATAATAATGAATATACTCTCCAAAAACAAAAAAAAAATATTTTCTATACATAGTATAGTTATAATTTTTTTTCTTATACTTTTAAAACTCAAAATTAATTTCTTATGAATTTTGGTAACTATAATTTGTTTAAATTCATCAATAGTATTTTATGAAATTTCATCAAGCTCTTGTTGGCATTAATTATATTGTTAAACATAATGTTTATATTTTATTAAACCCTTTTTTTTTTTGTATTTGTTACCAGTGAGAAAAAGAAAATATTGTTGATAGCATATTTATGAAATTCATATTTTTTAAGAGAACTTAAAAAAAGTTTAATATAAGTAACAAGTTTAACAATTACATCTAACAATATCAATTGCTTACCTAAATATTCTTATAGGTTTTGAATTTGACTCATGAGTTTTTACTTATAAGTAACTGTGTTTTGTTTTGTTTTGTATGAATTATTAAGATCAACTTCAAAAAATAGACAAATTAGAATCAACTAATTCAGTAGTACAAATAATTTTGGGGATATTTTTTGAGATCAAAATCTACAAATTAACTAATATATTAAGTCAACTATCTCTAAAGTTTTCTTTTCACCTCAAGATAAATTTAACAAAACTAATATTGTAAATTAGATAAAATCTTACTGTATTGAGTTTTGTAATTAATTCAAATATTAAAATAATATTCTTGACAATCTTAATAGATAGGATTATTGATTTATTTTATAATAAACATATACTTTGTTATTTAAATTTTACTATTTTTCTATTAATTTATATTTTTCAAGTATAAATTAATAATAATAAACTCTTAATAATACTTTGTAACTTCCTAATAAATATTTTTAATTTGTAACTCTAATTTCTTACATTACTTATTTAAATTTATTAATTAGTTTAATATATTTAATAATTGTCTATATAAATTTTAAGTTCCTTATTAATAATTTTATTATTATATTATTCTTGTTTCTTTAACTTTTGTTAAGTTTATACTTACAATTCATAAACACATTTCTTCTTGTTTACAAGTTATTAGTTGTAACTTATATTTTGAAATAAAATTAGTCTAAAAGGTTAACTAGTAACAATGTAAAAAGTAAAATTATATCATTGTTAAACTTGATATCAGATTTGAGCTTTCAGCAGGGCTAGTACACTAATATCTGCATTAATGATTTTAATTTCAAAACTTTCAAATTGACATTGTGTAAAAAAGAGAGAACAGTATTAAAATCTAAATATTAAAGAGTAAAAAAAATACGAGACAAACTTTTATTTCAAGTTTATTTATCATTCCTGCTACTAAGTTTATTTATTACTACTATAGGTTATACATATTATTTAGATCATTTTTCAAATCCTGAATTTCAAATTCAAATTATTTTACTAAATCAATAGTTTTAAACTTAATTAAACAATTCAAATTTTATTTAAAACAAAAAATCTTTTTGTATTTTTGTTCATTGATCTAACTTTTTAAACTTTTTAATTTCAATCATTAGACATATTGTTAATACTTTATATTATATAAATACTTATTTTAAGATTTATTATTAAAGATAAAAAAAAAGTATTAAAATACTTTTTGAAAAGTTAAATTAATCAAAGCAATTATATTACATAGGCAAACTTGATAAGTCAGCCACTGATAGCTGGATCATTTTGGCCAAGTTATCATGAAAATCAACTTATCAAGATTAGTACAATGATAAAGTAGCTGACCATCATTGGCCAACTTATAAAGGTGATCAACTTATCAAGTGGCCAACTTATTGATTTTTCCTTTGTATTACTATTTATTACATAGATTGATTTTATGATATGACAAAAACAGATAGTTAAAACAGGTAAGGATGATATGTAAATAAGAAAAAACAGGCAAAAAATATGCAAATATAATTTTAATCATTTGATTTTTGACCATTTGGCATATGTAAATAACTGAAAAAGAATATCTCTATTAATAATAATTTACTACTTCTACTACTTCTGTTATTTAAAGCTTTATTTTTGCAATCTTTGCAATTTTTATCCAGATAGAAGATAGTAGAAGTATTGAATTCGACTGAAATTTTCTTGGTCCGTGAACAATTTACAATTTGGGATTATTTATTTTTGTCCGTTGTGTATGACGAAAATATTTTTTATTATGTATGACAAAAACGTATTGTTTTATTGTGTATGACAAAATATTATTTTAGCAATGCAACACAACAGCTGCGGATAATCATAGGATAATCTTGAAGTTGAATTTCCTTAATTAGCCAACAATCTATATAAAAAAAAATTTGACATAACAAAACAAAGTCAGATGTTTATGTAAATGATCTGAGATAAAAAATATAGACAAATACATAGATTCGTAATTTGTTAATTACTAGACTCCCACGAAAAAGATAAACTATCGATAAGCCACTTTCGGTATATTTAAATAACAACTTTTTTTCCTCACTCTTTTTCCTTTTAACCTTTGCAAAACTGAAAACACTCTTTAAAGTACGAAAAATAAATTTATTTTGATTCAAAATTTTTTGAAATATTTACATATTATAGTTTATAGTTAGAGTAATTATAATTAATTATAATTAACATAATAATAAAACGAAAAGATAAACCAATGGCCCCCAAAAAAACTCTCAAAGCAATTGTAGAAAGAGAGAGGGTTCCAATTAATAAGAGTAATGGAGGGTCAATAGTTTCTAATATTACTACAACACCTAAAAAGCCTGCTGCAAAACCTCCGCCAGCAAAAACTGTTGACAACTGGTGGGGTATTCTTGAACCAATGGAATCGGGTCTTTCAAGAATATATTTGTGCGAAAATTCACATTTATTAGGAAGATATAACGAATACCCTACATCCTCTTCGTTCAGAGTATGTACTTCCCCCTTTTTTTTAAAAAATTAAAAGTAAAAGTAAAATCTTGTTATTTATATTTATTATATCTCACGTTTAAATAGTCTTTACCAATGGATGTTAGGATCGCGCCTGAACATTGTAATATTTACAAGGTAAGCATTTAATCCTAGTAATTTGTTTGTTTATTTTTTAATCGTTGTTATTTAGATCGACGATTTATTTATTTTAATCGTCGATTATTTGTGTTCAATTAGATGAATATTGGGGATAACGGTAATTATCGTACGGCTGTATATCTCAATAACCTAAGGTTAGAATTATTTTCTAAGTTTATAATATTTATAAAATGATTTGATCTAAGTTTTCTGATATCATCAATATCATTATATTAATTTATAGTAATGAAGGCACAGTGGTTCGTAATATATTTGTGACTGCCGAAATCGAAATTATGGCAAACGATGATATATTCTTTCCGTCATCAAAGGTCGGTGGTAATGGATGGTATCGATGTACGTATTATTAATGTGTTATTCTAATTTTATTCCTTCTTGAACGTATAAATCATATTAATTTTATTTTATTTTTTTTATATTATTTCTATGATAGATCGATTGAAGTTAAATTCAGTTTCTCCATCAGTATGAATTATTCAATTCTTCTGTCCTTCTTATCGTTATGATATTGAGAAAATCAATATTCTTATTCATTATTTTTTTTTTTTTCGTTAGGGGTTTTTTGGGAAGTACTCAGAAATTGCTCACCTAGGTAGCGGCAAATTTGCACAAGTCAAACTAGTTACTAATAGACATGGACCTAGACAAGAGGAGTATGCAGTCAAAATTATTGACAAAGGTTTGGTATCGAAAAAACAATTGAAGTCTTTAAAAAGTGAAATCAATATAATGAATAGATGCAATCATGTAAGTATCATTTGTATTGTCGTTCCTTTTTTTTTAATCGGGATGACTAAATCAAATAATATAATTGCGTTTTCAGCACGCGTTGACCAAACTATATGATATTTATGAAGAAGGAGATAAATTATATCTTTTAATGGAATAGTGAGTTGCTTTTATATTTATAATTGGTCAACATATCTTTATTTATTTTTAATCGGTAACTTATCTTAAAAATTTTTTTTTAGTGTCAAAGACGGCGACTTTTTTGATTTTATTACTAAAAGGAGATTAACCGAAGATACCACCCGCATTATATTTTTGCAACTATTTCAGGCAATCCAGGTAAATTAAAAACTTTGCCTTATCTTTTTATCCTTATTAGTACTAAATTATTTATTTGATTTTTTTTTTTTTTAAAAAAAAAAAATATTTTATAATATTTTATAGTACCTCCATTCTGTCCGTATCGTGCACCGAGATTTAAAACCCGAAAATATTCTAATGGCAGATGCATCACAATATCGTGTAAAAGTCTCTGATTTCGGTTTATCCAAACTCCTTAACGCTAAATATTCATTGATGAATACGATTTGTGGAACCCCCACATATGGTAAATTATTTTATACCTTTTGTATACCTTTTGTACGAGAACATTTATCTAACATTGGTTTTTTTTTCACCTAAAAAGTTGCACCGGAAATTATAAACCCAAATACACATGTCTATGGAAAATCTGCTGACATGTGGAGTTTAGGAGTTATATTATATATTTGTTTATGCAGTTATCCGCCATTCAGTGATCAACTAGCTCCGCCTGGTATTCTTGATCAAATTCGTACATGCAAATATTCTTTTCGATCTCATCATTGGGATCACATTTCACTTGATGCAAAAAACCTTGTTCAAGGCCTATTGACGCTTGAACCAGAATCACGTTTGACCGTTGAAGAAGCTTTAAATCATCCGTTTATGAGGGTAAATTTAAATTAAATTTTTTATTTGATATTTTCGATTTTTTTTTTTTTTTTTTTTTTTTTTCAAATATTTATTAATATTTATTTTTATTTCTGTTTAACTTAATAGAGATCAACATCAATTATTCCCAGACCGTTACAAACAACCGAACCAGTTTCTCTTACGAGAGTACATAATCAGTCAAGTTCAAATGTTGAAATTTTTCAAATTATAAATGACGGAACATCAGAATTAACTACTGGTCTCGAAGAAGATGAAACATTCTTAACAGCAGCGTCTACAATTGCTTCAGCTAGTGAATTATCTGACTTTAATGGTCTTTCTATGTGCAGTGATATGAGGGGAGATTCGAATTATGAATCAGCATTGCAGTTTGAGATCTGATTAATGGATAAAATTATTTCGAGAGAGATAAATATATATATATATTTCGGCTAAATTGTTTTTTTTTCTCTTCAATGTTACTTAAGAATATATGAATTCGTGAATTTAATGCATTTAAATGGGTAAATAAAAATTAATTTGCTACCGGAAAACTATAAAATTTATTAAAATTACATAAAAAAAAAAAAAATTCTGATTTTAAATAAAAAATTTGAAAATTTATAACTGTACATAAAAAACTTGTCTAACTCATCTACAATGATTGATTCTTAAATAAATAAGTAAATAAATAAATAAATAAAATAAATAAAAATAAGTTCTAAAATTGAAAATTAAAATTTATAATTTAATCATCTTCTAAGCCCAAAACACCACAACAGATCCAATTCTGAACAAATATGAGAGACGACATACAATAAGACATTAAATTATTTCCAAACATTCCATTCATCCATAAATAATCATTTTCACTTTTTCTTCTTAGTAATATCTCATCTATTATAATAGAAGAGGTATCACTTTTTAAATCTTCACTTTCTTCACCTTCTTCATCATTTTCTTCTTCTTCTTCGTCGTCGTCATTATAAGAATTATCATTCCTTTGTTGTGATGTTTGTGATATAGCTTGTTTTTTTGGATATTTCCATAATAACCATAATCCTTCATCTGATTCTAAAGGATTATGTAATTCCATTTCCTCATTTTCAAAATTTTCAAAATTTTCAAAATTTTCTTCAGGATAATAACCCAAACTAGATAATGGAGTATCTTTATTCAAATGTTTTTTTTAATTCAATATTGAAAAATTTTTGTAAGAATTTTGAATTTCATAATAATAATCAATAAATAAGAAGAATCAATAATTTTACATTTACATTCTAATTCTCCAACGAAAGTTTTCAAATTGATTTGTTTTCCATTGTTAGGAACAACTTCATTTAATTTTGATTCTATTTTCAATTATTTTTTAAAATAAAAAAATTATAATAATTATTATATATATATATTACACAATTATTTTTAAAATAAAAATTATAATAATTATTATATATTACAAATATCACACACATAAAAAACCACATTATAAATTTATTATATTTAAAATTCTACCTAATAATTCGATATGTCTTTCTGAATCAGTTTGCAAACCCCGAGACCAAGACACTTTACTACTATTACGTGAATGTCTAGTACAATTATTAATTGACGGAAGAGGTGGTGGTGGTATAACAAAACTAATTTCCTTTTTTTCTTTTAGTCTTTGTGGATCCCATATTGCATCATACTGAAATTGTTTAGTAAAAATTAAGTCATAAATAAATATAGAGGAGAGATATAATGGTTTAAAAAAAATCAACCTCGTGTCCCCCTCCTTTAGCCTCTAAGGCATTTTTCCAAAACGAATCTTCCGATTGATCAGGAAATACTTTATTCGGGTATGTCTCAGGAACCATGACTGAGATTAAATTAATATCATTAGAATTATTAGAATTGGACATTATGAATTATTTATTATTTCATTTATACTATTTCTTTTATACCAAAGATATCTGTAACACCATTTATTAATTCACTTTTAACATTTTCACATTTTTGTCGTACAAAAAGCCAAAGTAGATATTTTCAATATTTTCAGATATTTTTGTAAAAAAAAAAAAAAAAAAAAATGGATGTTTCAACAAAATTAGAAACAAAGAAATCAGATCAGTAAGTAATTTGTCAAAAGAATTGAATTAAATTATTTATTATTATCAACAATTTTTAATTAAAGTTTAATATGATCCACAAAGATCTATTGATGTCGAGAAACCAATACCTTTACATTTCGATCTTGGATTGTTAGCTGGTTTCGATATTAATGCATTAGACGAAGAAAAGTTAAAGTAAATAAAACGATTTCAAATAAGAATTATTTTCATTTCGAAGATATAACTTTTTTTTTAACGATATCCAAGATTTAATTTTAATTTAAAAATTTTTTTTTTCAGAAGTAATACTGCAGATGAATATCTAAAAGAATATACACGTGATGGGACACAACTTTTGATTAATCAAATATTTCAATCATCATTGAATTCTTCAGAAAGTGGTATAGCTGTAACTTTACCCGATCCAATTACTGCTATTCCCAGGGAAAAACCTGTAAAGATTAAAAGAATTTTGAATTTCGATTTTTAATTGATTTTTAATTATTTCATTACTTATTTTAACCATTCATTTTTTAATAAATCAAAAAGATACCAAAACCCAAACCTTTAACTAGATGGGAGAAATTTGCAAAAGCTAAAGGAATTCATCATCGTAAAAAGGATAAATTGATTTTTGATAAGAATACTGGTGAATGGGTTCCAAGATGGGGTTATAAAGGAACAAATCATGATGGTGCAGATGATTGGTTAATACCTGTACCTGATAATACTGGTAAAATTCTTTTTATTTTTATTTTTTTTTTTAATTGATTTTTTGGTTAATAATTATATATATTTATATATTTGATCTTTTAATTATTTTTATAATCTTCGTTTTTTTTTCTTAGATCCATATGAAGATCAATTTGCTAACCGACGTGAAGTCAAGAAACAACGAATTTCAAAGAATGAAGCGCGTCATCGTAGAAATATTGAGGAAGCTGAAATTACATCACAAAAATCAAATAATAATAATATCAATAATCGATCAGCACTCAAAGAAGAATTACAAAAAACTATTTTAATGTCTAAAACATCGACAGCTAGTAATGGAAAATTTGATAAAGTATTGGAAGGCGAGCCAAAAATTAAAGGCGTGAAAAGAAAAGTAAGATAAAAATTGCATGCATATATTATATATGCATATGTATTATATATATAGTGTTTATTCTTTATTAATCTTTATCTTTATCTTTACTATTTTTTTGATATTAAGTTTGAACCAAATGTTGGTGACACGAAAAAAGAAAAAGAAACCAATTTAAATATATTAAATAAACTAATTGGAAAAAATGACTCAGTATTAAACGTGAGAAAGGTTAGTCATTTTATATCAAAGATTATATTATTATTATTAATTTTTTTTTTTTGATAGTGTGTAAGTTAATTTTATTTATTTGTTATGTTTTTTTTTTCAGGCCATTACAAAAATAAATCAATAATAAATTACATTCAATTTATATTATTTATATTATAAAAATTTATATTGTCAATTTATATTATGATCAATTTTTATGATAAATTTTAAACGAATAAAAATAATACGAATAATAAAAAGAATAAAAAAAATATGTTATTTGCGAAAAAAATCGCGTTCTAATTTTTATAATTTTGGAAAATCAATTTCCTATGAATTCAAAAGAATTATTAAATATGTTTCCATTAATTATGCATCTTCAGTTTCTTTCAATATCCGATCAGCTTCTATATTATCTATATCCATAGCAATACTTTCATTTTCCACGTTAGGTAAATCATTTTCATTATTAACTTGTGGTGTTTCAGGATTAATAATAGGAATTCCAGGAAATGTTGAAACTTGTTCTTCTTTTATAATTTCTGAAGGTGCTGCTGGAGGTCGAGATGAACTTGAAGGTGTCATTATCGAAGGTACATCTACTGGAACATTACTTCTATTAAATATAGAGTTATTATTCACTTCGTCCGGTATAAGAGTGGATCTCGTTGATTTTCCACGTTCGCTATGTCTGCTTATTTTACTAGGTCTCGAACCTAAACCGCGAATTTCGGTATCGTTGTGCAATATTTTACGGGATTTACGCGGTGAAGATTCTCCTATCTTACCGTTTCCATTAGTATGGTAATTTCTTTCATTACGTCTATTACCTTCATCTTCGGAATCTGATAACTCGTTTTCAGGCACAACACGCATATTTCGTTGTCGTTCTAAAATTGTATTAATTATGTATGTAAAATATTTTAGGAATAAAATGTCAATTTTTCAAAATTTTATACTCACGTGACATTCTTATGTCAGCATCATCATCATTTTCGTCTTCATCTGATAACTCGCATGATGGTACATCTATAATAAATCAATAAAATTAAATCAATTCAAATCGAATCAAATCATTAAATAAAATTAAATAAAATAAATCAAATCAATAAATTAATAAGATCTATTGCATTAAAAACTCACGATGCATTTGTACACTGGGAGCAAAAGGAATATTTCGCAAATTTTCAAAAACTTTCGCTCTATAAATTATTTTTGACGACATGTTTTAGAGAAATGATTTAATTAATTATACAAAAGATTTAATTAATAAAATGAAAATTACTTCATATCAGTCAAATATGCAGGAGTATTCATATTCTCCATATTATTGGCTGGAACTTCTAATTTATAATGTGGTCCATAATATTCCAGATAATTATTATATGGTAGATCTATATGGTTTTTAAAAATTTAAGCAAAAAAATTATAAATATAAAACTCAAAAAATAAAAAATAAAAAATAAAAAATAAAAAATAAAAAATAAAAAATAAAAAAATAAAAATAAAAATAAAAATAAAAAGTCATAAAAATTAAATAATATTACCTTCTTTTAATTGTTCTCCTAAAAGTAAACCTGTTTCGTATGTCCAAGCACGAGCTACGTTCCTAACTGTATAACCTCCTCCACCAACCACCATAAGTGGTATGTTAAAATCTTTGACAAAGTCTACGCAAGCAGCGTGACCTTTCATTGAAAGATTGAAACATCCCAATCGATCTCCAGCAAGTGAATCGGCACCACATTGAAGAACTATTGCACCAGGTCTATACCATTCAATAATATGTTGAACAACCTATTTACTTTCATGAAAAAGAACTATAAGCAAAAAAATGTATTTATTAAAATTCAATTCATAAAATCCATACCGGTCGAAAAAGGTTCTGATAATTCCAATCGTCCATACCATCTTTTAAAGGGAAATTTACTGCATAATGTTTTCCTTTACCAATACCAATGTCCTAATTATTTCAACATATAATTTTATTTAAAAGTAATATTTTTATTAAAAGTAATATTTTATTAAAAGTAATATTTTATTAAAAATAATGCGAATAAAAAAAAAAAAATCGTCATTTTTAAATTTTATACCGAAACATCTCCAGTGCCAGGAAAAAATTGACCAAATTTGTGAAATGAACAAGTTAATACTCGATCAGTAGAATAAAAAGCTTCTTCTACACCGTCTCCATGATGAATATCAATATCTACATAAAGAACGCGTTCATAATATCTTTTTATATAAAAAAAAATAAAATAAAATCAAAAATTATATTAATTTAGATAAATGTAATAATGAGAGAACAAAATAATAGGAATTTACTTTACCTTAGTAATTCAAGAATTGCTAATACAATATCATTCACATAACAAAATCCTGATGCTTCAAACCTCTTGGCATGATGAAGTCCTCCAGACCAATTTATCGCTATATCGGATTCTCCACTTGTTAATTTATTAGCAGCATCTAAATATAATTAATTTCAAAATATGAGGAGATGAAAAATTGATAATTTTTTTTTTTTTTTTTTACATTAATAATTTAATTTCTTTTAATTATTTACCTATTGATCCACCTGCCGAAATTGAACAAAATTCGAATAACCCTTCGAAAATAGGACAATCTTCACCAACGTTGACTATTATTAAACTTATTAATTTTAATTTTTATGAATTCCTTAAATTCTTACTTAATATAAATAATAATAACGTTACATCTTGTTTGCTGCTGTGATAATTCTTCAACATTTATAGGTGTAACTCTTTCCAAAAAATTAATATATTCATCCGTGTGAAACCGCGTCATTTGTCTAAAAGAGGCACGATGTGGGGTCTATAAACGCGACGTTTCTGGTCAAAGAATAACGCATACTCAATGAAATTTTTTTTTTTTTAATCAAAAATCAATAAAAATTATAATATTTTAATAACCGTAAAAAAAAGGATACAAGAACTTCCATTTTTTTAAATAAGTTATAATTTACAACAAGATCATGAGTCATTCGCATTCTATGTGGTTTCATCGGGTGACCTGATTAAAAAAAATGGGTCAATAAAGGTCTTACGAACTAGACACTAGATAAAAACGCGAGCATAAAGTAATAATTTAGTTCCGTTAAACTTTACCTTGTCCATATGTATAGTTTCCGACATCCTCTAAATACGATATACAAAAAAAAAAATAAGTAAAAGAAAGTTTATAATAAATGTTTTAACTTAAAACAAATAAAAAGTATTAAACGATACCATCATAAAAGTAAGAAACGCGTCTTTTAGATTTTGAAAGGGTTGACATCTTAAAGAAATTATTACAGAAGGAAAAACTAGTGTCTTTTTTTCGCACTTTAAAAAAGAAGTCTCTTTCCGATAATGTATTATTATATAATTTGGGTATCACTTTTTTTATGCCCCTAGAAAATAAAAAAATTCCTTTTTATTTTTGCAAGGGTAAATTTTTCACAAAGATGGTGGTTACACGACTTTTACACATGTTTGATTCGAAATTTATTAAGTCATGTGAAAAATATCATTTTTACAGTATACATGTACATAATGATAGTGATAATGGTTAATGATGAATGGACACGCTTAATCCATTTATCCAAAAACAGTAATTGATATAATTAACCATATAATAAATATTAATAATATAAATAATTGCTATAAAAGTATTAATGAAAAAAAATAAGAAATAGAAAATCAATAATTGTTATTTTTTGTGCATCAAGAAGAGAATGACAGATTTGAATTTTATTCCTAATGATAAATTTTTTTTAAAGCGGGAAAATAAAATTAAGTAGGAATGTTCGAACGTCTTAAATTCTGGAAGTCATTAAAATCAGGTTTACAGTCACGTCAAGTATTTGTCAATGAACCTTTGCCTCCTAGTCAACTTGAACATGGACGTCCTAAACAACTCTATAGTACCAATAAAGTTACTACCTCTAAATATACCCTTTTAACTTTTATACCAAAAAATTTGTATGAACAATTTCGTCGAATTGCCAACTTCTTCTTTTTATTACTAGTAGTATTACAATGGTTTCCACAATTCTTTACTATTAATCCTGTATTAGCAGCTTTACCAATGTTCATAATAACTAGTATAACAGCCATAAAAGACGGCTTTGAAGATTTTAAACGTCATGTAACTGATAGATCAGTTAATAACAGAAAAACTCAGACTTTGGGAAATTGGAAGAATGTTAATTATCCGGATACAAAATCAAGTTTTTTTTCTAAGAAATCAACAGAGGAAAAGGAAAAGGAAAAGCAACCTAACGACTCTAAAGTTGATTGGAAGCAAACTATGTTTAAAGATGTTCGTGTGGGCGACTTTATCAAATTATGTGATGATGATTTCATTCCAGCTGGTAACAAATTCAATTGAGTTTTCTTCGTTGACCTTTTTTTCACTTCTTGAAAGATTCTAAATACAAAAGAAAAATCAAAAAATAACCAATTATATTTTATTTCTGTTTGTCAGATATCTTAATTCTTTCAACTTCGGAACCTAATTCTCTTTGTTATGTTGAAACTAAAAACTTGGATGGTGAAACTAATCTCAAAATAAGAACCAGTGTACCAGAAACCGATCACATAACAAAACCGGAAGATTGTACATCAATTCGTTTTTATGTAGATTCCGGACCACCGACAACAAATTTATTTAGTTATAACGCTACTGTGGTTTTTCCTCATGGATTATCTGATCGTCCACGTTCTCGTGGAGGACCAGAAAAAATCCCAGTCAATCTTAATTCAATGCTTCTAAGAGGTTGTGTTTTGAAAAATACTGAATGGGTAATCGGTATGGTGATATTTACCGGTGGTGATACTAAACTTTCATTAAATTCTGGTAAAACTCCATCAAAAAGGAGTCGCATAGAAAAAATGATGAACCCTCAAGTGTATTTATTATATTATTTTTTTTTTATCATTTTTTTTTATCGTTCTGATTAATATGATATAAATATGATAATATTTTTTCTTTATTTTTTTTTTTTCATAAAGTCTAGTCAATTTATTCGTTTTGATTTTCATGTGTCTTTGGACCGCTATTGGAAACAAAATGTGGGAAACAAATTTTGCTGATAAAGATCCTCCCTTCCTTGAATCTGATCACGGTGGAAGCATCAAATTCGATGCATTTTTGACATTTTGGTATAAATAAATGTTTTTAACAATTTTTATTCTATATATATATATATATATATATATATATTTTAGATAAATATATTAAAAAAAAAAAAAATTGAACGTTCAAATCTTAATTATTAGGAACGCTTTAATTACTTTTCAAAATATTGTTCCTATTTCATTATATTTATCAATTGAAGTTGTCAAGTCTATTCAAGTATGTTGGCATATTTAAAAATTCAATATTACTACTTTCATTCTATAAGAATATAAAGTTAATAAGATAATTTCTTTTCAGGCATTCTTTATTTTTATTGACAAAGAAATGTATTATAAAGAAACTGATACGCCATGTATTCCAAAGAATTGGAATCTTTCGGATGATTTAGGTATAATTTATGAAAATTAAATAATTTAATTATGAAAAATTTGTACATATGAGTTAATTATTTTATATTATTATATTATTTATTAATAGGTCAAATTGAATATATATTTTCTGACAAAACGGGTACTTTAACTCGTAATGTAATGGAATTTCGTAAATGTTCAATTGATGGTAAAATTTATGGGGAATACACAGGTGATACACTTTATAAAATTCAATATTATGATGTTGATGAATTAGATTTGTCTAGAAATTAACAAGGATTAATTTCATTATAAATATCAGGTGTTAATTATGATTCGGATTCTAATAAATCTGAAAAGAAACCTTTCGTAGATGAGACACTTTTCGAAGATATGAAATCTACAGATCAAAACCGATCAAATGTTATTAGGGATTTTTTCACTCTACTTGCGATATGCCACACCGTTCTCGTCAATACTGATCCAAATGGTGAACAAAATTACAAAGCTCAGTCACCTGATGAAGCTGCACTTGTAAAGGCAGCAAAAGATGTTGGTTACACTTTTCGATCTCGTGAACTTAACAATATTGTTATAACAACACCAGAAGGTACAGAAGTCAAATATGAATTATTAAACATTTTAGAATTTACAAGTGCACGAAAGAGGATGAGTATCATCGTACGAGCTCCCGATGATCGTATTATTTTATATTGCAAAGGAGCTGACAATGTAATTTTTGAAAGACTCAAAAGTAATCAGGATCATAGATTGAATACTACTGGGGAACATCTCGAGGAATTTGCTAGAGAAGGTAAATTCATTAAATTTTACGATTGGATATCTTTAAAATGTCTATTGATTCGTTTAACTTTTTTACTATTTATGTGATTAATTTATTTTTCAAATAGGTCTTAGAACACTTTGTACGGGATATGCTGTTATCGATCCTGTTGTATATAAGAAATGGAATATTGATTTTCATGAAGCTTCAGCGGCAATTATGGATAGAGATAAGCGAATGAGTGATGTTGCAAATCAAATAGAAAAGGATTTGACACTTTTAGGTGCCACAGCAATTGAAGACCGTTTACAAGATGGTGTACCAGAATGTATAGCTAAGCTTAAACGTGCTGGAATTAAAATTTGGGTCTTAACAGGGGATAAGATGGAGACAGCTATCAGTATTGGGTTTTCTACGTATTTATTAACTAGAGATATGAACCTTATAATCATTCGTGGAGGTGCTTATGGAGAACCCGGAAGTGCTTATGAACAAATGCAAAATGCTAGGGATAAATTTTTTCCTAATGATTTGGCTATTTTGAAATCAGTGCAAGCACCTCCTATTTCTTCAGTTAGTAATCTTCCTAGAACTTCTACCTCACACGCAAGGGAATTGAGTTTTAGTGCACTTTCCATTTTATCCAATACATCAGGAACTAAAATAAATGGTCATGCGTTAATTATAGATGGAGTTGCACTTAAGTATGCATTAGAAGAACCTTGGAGTCATCAATTGTTATTAGAATTAGCTAGCCGATGTAAAGGAGTTATTTGTTGCCGTGTTTCGCCTTTACAAAAAGCTAAAGTTGTAGAATTAGTTAAGAATGGAAAGAAAGTTTTGACGTGTGCAATTGGGGATGGCGCTAACGATGTTAGCATGATACAGGTATATATTATTAATAATATACATGCAATATATAGAATTATTTTCGATAATTAATTTTATAAATACTTTTACTTATTTAAGGCCGCGCATATTGGTATCGGTGTTGCGGGAGAAGAAGGACTTCAAGCTGTTATGGCGTCCGATTATTCCATAGCCCAATTTCGATTTCTTACTCGACTTTTATTGGTTCATGGACATTACGCTTACATTCGTAATTCATCTATGATTCTCAATTTCTTTTACAAGAATATGATTGGTGTTGGTGTTTTATGGTGGTACCAACTCTTTAATGGTTACACTGCAACGATTATATTTGAATACACCTATCTTTTATTTTGGAATTTGTTCTTCACATGTATCGCGGTGTTAGCTATAGGGATATTTGATCGAGACGTACCTGATAAAGTAGCAATTGAAGTCCCAGAATTATATCAAATGGGAATTCGTCGAGAAGCATATTCAATGATTAAATTTTTTGTCTTTATGATTGAAGGTATATATCAATCAGTGGTATGCTTTTTTGTTCCATATTATGCTTATGAAAAGGGAGCAAATAAGTATGGAAGACAAGCGGATTATCTCGAATTAGGTACAACGATGGCAGTCTCTTGTATTGTGATGGCCAATTTGTTTACAGGATTCAACGCTCAATGCTGGACGGTGTTTCATTTTATAGCAGTTTTTGGATCTGCATCCTTGATATTCATTTATATTTCGATTTATAGTTTAATTCCACTTTCAGGTATTTATGGGTATAATCAGGCTATTTACGGAACAGGAGTATTTTGGTTTTGTATTATTTTATCCACAGTTTTATGCTTATTTCCGCGATATTTATGGAAATTTATGCAAAGGAATTATCGTCCTACTGATATTGATATTATACAAGAAATATGCAAAAAAGATCCAAAATTCGATTTTGCCAACGATGCTATGTTTAAATCAAATATAAAACTTAGTAGAACCAATACATTCGATTCGAGATATTCAAATAATGAATTAATAGCACCCGTACTTAATACGTATGGATCTAATACACCACGTCAAAGTCTCGATGTTACAACAGGTCAGCAATTGCAAGTGAATGAAGACGATAGACCAGAAACTCCTACTAGTATTACATATATGAAAACAGGAGTAACCGAACCTATGCGAGGTTACGCATTTTCACAAGAAGAAGGCACGGGACGTTTGATGCATCCTTTACGTCGTTCTAAAACTATTCCTGGACCTCTTAGTCCAAAAACTAAATTTAAACATGAGTCAGATACTTTACGTCGTAGAAGTTTACCTAACGTAGAAACTGAAAAAATGCGTATGGTGCAATTTAGAGAATCCCTGGGAGGTACCATTGCACCGAGTATTGTACCATCTAGAAAATCAAGCAATCAAGAAATTGATGTCGATTCGATTGAAGATGAAAAAAATAATGATGATGACAACAAAAATAATGATGATGACAAAAATGATGACAAAAATAATGAACCATCATCCAAAGAATAGACGATTGTAATAGAAGATTGTATAATAGATTTATAATGATACATTAAATTTTTTTTTTTTCTATCGTAGAAATAATTTTTTTTTTAATTAATAATTAATTTGTGTAAATTATAAATGTACTTTTAGAACATTAGCGTATAATAAAATAAAATATACTAATATTAATTTATTTAAATTAGATTAAATAAATTCTTTAGCAATATATTTTTTTCTTTATCAAAATATATACCAAAATTTGAGAGAATCTTTATAATTATCTTTTATATTTGTTTCACCTTTTTTTTTTGATCTGAGAACAAAATTTACATATTAATATTAATCTGAAACAAAGTATTATATCATTTTAAGGCTGTGAAATTAACAAATTTCACATTTATTTCAAAATTAAAATAAAAATAATAAACATCAATAAAAAACTTTAATTCTCTCGAACTTATTTGGGTCTCTAAGCTTAAGTGTTTATCCCATTTAGGAATAATTATAGTTAAAGTTTTCATGCAATCTTTACAAATATTTGTGAATAAATGAAATGATTTTATCTATTTTTAATAATGTGAATTTATTTTGCGACCCAAATAAGATTTTAGAAGCCAAAGTCTTAGAATTCAAAAGTCCAGGCTCGTTTCACGCCTGGCTTGGCTCAGATTTTTGAGGCTTGAGTCAAGCCTTAAGAGGCTCGGCCTATGAAAAGCTTTAGGTTCAGTGATTGGCTCACATAATCAGCACTGATCTATTTAAAAATCGAAATTCGTATATAAAATTTTTTTTTTTTTTTGTAGAAAATATGAAGAGTTAGAAGTTTATCAATTTTTTTTATAAATTATCTTTATTTCTTGTCATACAAGCCACGACTATGGAGAATGTCTTCTTTCCTGCTACGAAAAATCTGGTCCATTGAAAAAACCGGAACTTTTAAAAATCTAAAATTAGAAGATGATGGTTTAGCACCACCTTCACCCGAACAACTTCGTATAAAAGTTTTGTTTTGTGGTCTTAATTTTGCTGATATTTTTGCCATTTTTGGGCTTTACTCCGCTACGCCTAAACGAAAATTTATACCAGGGTTAGAATTTTCTGGCGTAGTTGAGAGTGTAGGTGAAGGTTTAAACAAACAAGAATGGGTAGGAAAACGCGTTTATGGTGCAACTTTCTTTGGAGGTTATGCAACATACCTTAATTTAAAGTATTGTTATGTAAGGAAAACTCCGGATGACTGGACTGATAAACAAGCTTGTGCTTTTCCGGTAAAATTTTTATTTTATTTTTTATTTTATTTCAAAATTTCTATGTATTTCAAGTAATTTCTTTTTATTTTATTTTATTTTAGGTTCACGCATTAACAGCTTTCTATGCAATAGAAGAGCTTGGACGATTCAAACCAAATCAAAAAGTCTTGGTACATTCCGCAGCAGGTGGCTGTGGTTTATTCGCACTTTCTATTCTTAACAAAAAATCTGCAAAAGTTGTAGGCACAGTAGGAAATTCTTCTAAACTCGATTTTCTTAATGAAAAATACGGGAAGAATCCAAATTTTACCTTCATCTCTCGAATTCCTGTCAAAGGTTTCGAATCGCGAGCCAAAGGGGCATTAGCTCAAATAAAATCAGATGATGATAAAGAAGTATTATTTGATGTAGTATTAGATAGTATAATGGGAGACTATTTTTGGCCAAATTATAATTTATTAGGAAAAGAAGGAATGTTGGTTTTATACGGATCTTCAAGTTTTACACCAACTGGCAATTTGCATCCTATATGGAATATATTTCAATTAATAAAATTGGGATGGAAATATCTTTGGAGACCTAAAATCGATCCAATGCAGGTTTGCCAAGATAATAAAGCGGTGAGTCTTTTAAGAATAAAAAGAAGAAAGATTTTTAAAAGAAAACAAATTGAAATTTGAAATTTTTATTGTAGCTTCTCGGCTTTAATTTAATTCACCTCTACGAACAACAAGAACGATTAAACCAACTCTTCGATCAACTTCAAGAATTACAATTAGAAGCTCCGCATGTTGGACATGAATTTGATTTTGAAAACCTTATTGAAGCATTAACTTTTATGCAATTAGGAAAGAGTGTGGGTAAGATAATTCTTTGTGTTAAACATCCTGAAGGTCCAGAATCCTAATTAATATCCGATAAATATGTGAATGTAATTATTATTATAGTGATTCAAAGATCTAATAATAAATTGTATAAATTATTTAATAAACCTATAAAGAACATTATTTTATTAAAATGAATTCATTAATTTATTAAAAATGAAAATATATAATCTTAAAAGAACAAATTAAAAAAAAAATTATTACATAATTGAAAAATTGTAAATATTATTAATAAATCAATATAAAAAATGTTAATTTTGTATAAAAAAAAATGTCGTATGAACTTTTCAAATTCACCGAATTTCACTTGATGTTTCGAGTTTATACAACATATCTTTTAAACTTCTTCCAATTTTATTACAATTCATTACTAAATAATTCTCACACTCCCGCCTAATTTCTCTTAATTCTTCTGTAATTGGTAACTGCCCATCAGATCGAACAAGGGTAGGATTTAGCAACATGTGGAATAATCTTCTCCAAAGTTCTCCTTGCCAATAACGTTTAAATGATTGTATCGGCTTGTATTTTCTAGTCGATATCGACACTGCCCCAGATGAATAAGTATCATCTTCGACTCGTATAGGAGTTATTTGCATATATTCATTGTGTAACATACAATGAATGACACCCGCTATACCATAATAATCTGCCTGCCATTTCCATGGTCTTCCTTCACGCATTTCAACACAATCTTGATCATCCGTTTTCCAATCGGCTATAAATTTCATATCGGAACGAAATAATGTTACATCGATTGCTCGCCCAAAATCAATTAATTTTATTCCCTTTTTTGACCAACCATTTGCACCCGATGATTCATATTTAGAATTCCATTCAGATGTTTGTTCTAATCTTAAAAGACAATTATCTGCTTTGATATCGCCGTGTATTATTCCAACCTTATGAATTGCTTCAATAACCTTCAATAATTCCACTGTGAAGAAAAACACTAATATTTCGTCCATAACCGTGTTAGATTTTTTAGATGCATTAACAATATCTAATATGGATCCATGATTACAATATTCTTCGAGTAAATAACTTTCATCTTTAAAATAGTATAAAGAATGAACTGTTATTATTGAATCTATCATCGGAGATGCAATTTTCTCGTGTAATTTTCGAATAATATAAAACTCCCAAGCACTAGGTGGCATTTGAAGTTTTAATACACGTGATTTCTGTGAGTCTTCTAAATCTTTATTCATATCCAACACGTGGTAGATTTTACCGAAGCCTCCTTCTCCAACTTTTTGCCGAATGAGAAAGGAATCATTAAAAAGTTCAATTGGAACTTCGGAATTTGTTGAATGACGACGATCAGATTTTACGCCACATCGTGCAAGTTTCTCTATTTTACCATGATTATTTGAAATTTGATCACGAGCATAATATAAACCAGGAAATTGATTTAATGGGGGTTTAAGTGAATTCAAAACCTGATCAATTAATCTTGAGTCCAATGGATTACAAGGATTAGAAATCATAGGATATAAGAACTCTAAAGCATCACTGTGCGATTCTTTGGCTTCTTCCTTTTCGATTAGATTAGATGTTGAATCTACGATAACTTTGATTTCATTAAGTTTATCGGTGTTGCTAGTAGTTTCTATGGAATTTAATTTATACTCACGGCTGGTTTCTCGTATTGGCGTCATGAGTTCAAATGGAATTTTGCGATTATTTTCACGTTCACAAAGATTAGAATAATTAGTTGATCTGATGTTCTCGACATTATCATTGAATCTTGAATGATTTTGAGGCGTTTTGAGAATATCAGATTTAGGATCGCTTGATGTTTGATTAAGGAAGTTGGTTTGTTTGGAATTGAGTTCTCCGTCTTCTTGGTAATCCTCATTCTGCTCGCAATTCAATGGTTGATTGAACAATTCCATTATATCTGCGAAGGCCGCTTTCGTGTTAATTGTTGGTGAGGGTTTTTTGACAAGTTTCTTAATATTAGGTGGATTAGGCGCTAAAATTTAAATACCAAAGATTAAATGAAAAATGAAACAAATCTCTAGATTAAAGATTTCATAATCACATACTCATTCCAGGAATTGGTTCATAATATTCGCTGACACTGTTTGTTTTAGAGGTCGGTCGATCATGACTTTTACTTTTTGCTCTTAATTCTTCAAATGAATATTCATTTCCATTGGCGTATATTGTATTAAGATCTACAAACGTATTTTCAGTACAATTTCCCTTTGGTCGAATGTTAGGAGCATTTGTATTTGATGTTAAAATTGTATTTGATTTTAAAATCGTATCAGATGATGAAATTTGCTTTTTGGAGGTTTCGGGCTAAAATTCAAAATTTAAAATAAATAAAATTTTAAAATTCTATAAAATTCTTCAAAATTGAAGAAATTATGTTATGATTAAGAAAAATATATGCCTTATCATGATATATTTCGAATTTTTCTGTCATCGGCATACGAATTCTTTTGTCTTGTACCAATGTCGCGCCTTTCCATGATTCGGCTTCCTTGGTGTTTTCTTTTTTATTACCCAATTCCGTCCCGAAATCTCTCCAAATCCCTGATGTTTCTGAAGAAGTTAACGCAGAATTTCCAACCTCGCCATCCGGATCATGGAATATTATTAATTTTTCTTCATTTGTATCAGTTCCTAGCTTTTTATTTAAAAGTGCAGTACTTGGTAATGTTGACCGGTTAACATTGATTGATTGTGAATTTCTTTGGTTGAAAATATTTAATGGTGTGGAATTTATTGAATCTCTGACTCCGAGAATAATTCTTTGTGAATTTTCATCATTTTGCTGCTGACTTGATTCAGTTCGTTGTAATTGATTATTCGTTTCTTGTAATGAACTTAAGCGCGTCAGAAATTGCCTATAACGACGAGTTAGGCGCTCAAGAGGCTGTGCTTTTCGACTTATTCCGACTGTATATATTTCATCAGCTTCCTTACATCTATATAGTGAAAACAATATTATCATTATTATTATTATTATTATTATTATTATTATTTTATACAATAAATAAATCAAAATTATAAAATTGCTTACCTATTCAACCTTTCCATAAATTCGGCATATTCCTCGTAGTATGCAGCTAAGTCCATACCAATCCCATTGACTTTCAAGAAAATAAAAAATTCTTTTGATTGACCGATGAATTTTGAATATTGTATCCAGCACCTTAAATATCTTGGATCATTTTTGTAGCGAGTATCATGAACAAATTCTTTTAAAGCTCGTTCAAATAATTGTATTAAATTTGATTGTGGATTTTGGCCTTGGGGGTAATTTTCCATAGTCCACTTTATGTACTGGTTATATACGTCAAAAGGGTCATCGAGTTCGTGGATCTTTTCGAGCTCGGCCCTAAATTTTGCGTGACCAACTTCTAATCCGGCCTGGCGAGAAGAAGAATCATTACCAAAAACAAGTGACAAGGAACTTGCCTTACGACCCTCCCTAAGAGGAAATATATTTTCCTTTTGGTGTTCAAACGAAGAAAACTCTGGTATTATAGTCTCTTTTTTAACAGAAGTTTGGGTATCTTTGTGTATCTCCATTATGTTTCAATAAAGTTGGGATAACTCGTTTTTATAATATTGACAACGTCACGCGTAATTATTGATTTATCGAGTGTAACGTCATCATTATCGCCTAAATAAATTTGGCCTAATCCTCTACTAATATCTTGGATTATTTAGATTATAAAAAATTAAAAAAAAAAAATTGTTTAAGTTATTCATCAAAATTACAATATCTAAACCTAATACATTAAAATATTTATTAATTAATGATTGCACCATATTTATTCATTATTTAAAACCAATTTTTGTCTGTTGAAGAAAAAAAAAAGTTCTAAATTAACATATTAGTTTTTTCATTACAAATGAACTTAAAATCAGTTACAAATCTTTTCTATGGGCCAGATTTGCATTTGCCATTGAAAGATCAGTCAAGATGCCATCTTTTCTAAATTCAAAGAACTCGACAAGGAACCAGTTATACAATTTATTTCAAAAAAAAAAAAAAAAAAACTTATCAATATTGTTTCTGAGAAGTTCTAAAGAGATCTAGTTTATATTGGAATCTATTTTGTATAACAATAAGTTTGTTTGTAAGGTTTAATAACACAACATATAATGCATAATTAAAGATGATATCCTTAATTATTTTTACAAATTCTTAATATTACAGATTTTTTAATGGGTTATCTTTTTATTCTGATTCGCAATTATGACTATCTGAATTAGAACGTATTCAAAAAATACATTACAAACTATGGAAGTCAAAATCGTTCAATAATTATTTGATTTTGATAAAAAATTAAAAAATAATAGTAACATATGTATTTAAAAAGTTGTTCGTGCCGATGTCGATCCTCTAATTATTTGTATTTTTTTTTTTTCATCTTTAATACGAATCCAGGAAGAATTTGCGATACAATTTGGTCAGGCATTCTGAATATTTGCCAACTAAATATTATTAGTGTTAGAAATAATAGTATAAACTCTCACTTCCAGAGGATTTAAAATCGGATCTATCGAAATTCCTTCCTATATAAATATAAATAGTAATTAATAAACAAATGTTGATCATAATTAATTTACTTTCCTCTACCCCCACTTCTATCCATTTTAACATTTTTTTGTGAACATTCTGGGTGGAATCGCAATTCGACGATGAAACTCGGAGCAATTGGTGGATACGTCGTATCTTTTTCTTCATCAGTCAAAGTATCCCACCTGCAATAATAAAATATAAATTAACAATTACATAAAGCATGAAAACTATCTTTATATCTGGTAACATTTAGAAACCTGGTTTTAAGAATCACGGACACACTCGGAACCAGAACGGTGTGTTCGTTGTTGAGTTTTTCCAGGTTAAGTAATCTACAGCCTTCCTACAATCAAACAATTACAGTATTAGCAACATAAAAAAGGAAACATAATGTTTGCGTAATATACCTGAGAAGAACTATATATGATCCAATTAAGTTATCACACCAATTACAAATTATTATCACTTAATAATATTTTTTTTCATCGTATTTCAGTGACATTCTAACTTGATATAATCAATAAAATAAGTCATGCCTCAAACTTAACATACCAGATTTATAGCTATATAAAGTTTGCCTTCGATTAGATGGAATGCCAGAGGACATTTGGAAAGTCGCAAATTTATTGTAATATCTTTCACCTGAAAAAAAAAAATCATATTTAAGTATATTATTATTCCGCAGATTTAGAGCTTGATATAAAATAATTTTACCGATGTTTGTTGAATTTTTCGTTATCTTTGCAAGAAAAAATTCGTTAGACCAAAAAGATCACTAATTGAAACGTATTATACAAAGGGAGAGAATATGAATTCATACATGGGAATTAGCAAGTTTACTTTATATAATAGCCAAAAGAGGTCCAAATCCAATACAAGATATGAAAATAAAAGGGAAATTTTACAATAATTAAAGATTTTGAATTTTTTGCAGGTTCACATTTTGGTTTTCTGACCTTATTATGTAACTTATTTTGTATTTGTTAAACTATGATTATTATCTCATAATATTCATAATATGCAATGGTTTTGCGTTTTTCAAGCATCAGTTAAAACTTTATTAAATATTATATGATCAGATAATATTAAGAATGACTTCATCACAGAAAGTGTCATTATAAAAATTATATTATATCGGTTTCTTTATCTATCTTTGAAATAAATATTACCTTGCTTTGTCAATTATGTAATTACACGCGAATCGAATTTATGACAAAATAAAAAAAAAAGTGAAAATTGATGAAATTGATGATATTTTCCCGATCAACAAAAATAGCAAGAACTGGTTCTTAAAAATACTGAGAGAAATTGGATCACACAACCTGAAATCAAAGATTAATAATTAATGACGGAGTTAGTATCTAAAGACACATAATTTTATTTTTTATTTGTTTGCGAAGCAGGACACTTCGTATCTAAATATTTCATGCATTTAGACTCAATGTTTACCTGAAGAATTCGGAGTTTCACAAAATGATAGTACTTAATATTTAAGAGTTGAGGAAATCATCTGCCTCTTCTTCAATTTCTTCATTTGTAGCAAAATGGTCTTTGGCTAATTGATAATATAAATTATTAAGTTTTACTATAGCTTGAAGAATTTTCAATTCACTTCTATACCATTCTTGATATTGTTTTTTCATTTCGATATATTTATCTTCATTAGGATAGATTCTTTTTGCTTAAGATATAAATATCTGGATCTTCAACTTGGTGCAATTCTGTGTATTGCTTTTTATAATTTTGCATGAACTTGTCATTCTTTTTCTTTTTATAATAAATACCTGCTTTTACTATATCTACTATAGCTTTTTTGATATTTTACCATGTGAGTTTGGATAGTTTGACCTATAGATGTTATGATTTAATTATCTAAAGTTTTATATATAATACTTTATAAAATCTTTTTTTTAAATAAATATTTCAATATATCAAAAAAATGATAAGTGAATATACTTGTCCATTCTATTATAATTCTGGTAAAGTTTATGGAAGAGCCTATATAAGACCTGAAGGTTATAGTTATTATTGAAAAGCTAAAAGAAAAGTACTTTGTACTAATTGTGATAAACCTACTGGTTCTACTAGTGGTTGATGTCCATTACATATCAGAAGTTATTGTTTTATCCAATATTATAATAGACTTTAATCAAATGTAGGAGAAAGAACTTATAATGAAATATTGAACATGCTTTGATTAAATGTATGAGAAAAAACTTATGAGGAAATAATGAATACCCATAAAGACAAGTTTACAAATCTTAATATTACTCTTTGTAGAGAATGTTTATATCTAATAAAAGTGAAAGAGTGAGAATATTGTAATAGTTGTTAACCAGATCCAGTACTATAATAGATTACATGCTAAGGTTTCAAAATTAGATTCTTGATAAGTGAAAAACCTGGTTCAGAATTTTGTTACTTTTATCAAAAATCTGTTACTCTTATTGAACTTTTATTACCCTTTGTAATATATAGTTACATTTTTTTGTTATCTTTATCAAATTTTATTACCTTTTGTAATATATAGTTTCATTTTTTGTTATCTTTTTGTGATATATGGTTACATTTTTTTGTTACCCTTATTGAAATTTTATTACCTTTTGCAATATATAGTTACATTTTTTATTATCCTTTGTGATATATGATTATATTTTTTGTTATCCTTTAAGGTATATGATCACATTTTTTATATCAGAAAAGTTGTGAAGAATAAACTTTAAATTGAATTCTGCTATAGTAAATAATATTGATATGCAATTTAAACTTAATTCATGTTTAAGAAGAGATCAGATATTCATTAAATTTATTTTTTATCACTTCTCTTGAACTTTTTTAATAGCAAGTAAGATATCATAAACAATTGTTATCCTTTTCAATATGAATTTAGATAATTAAATGTATTCTAAATTAATATGCTTTTTGATATTTTTGAAGTCTAATAATATGTTTAATGACTAGTGATAATTGATATTTTTGAAGTCTAATGATATACTTAATGACTAGTGATAAATAATTGATATTCAGAATCAAGATCTAATAACTATGAATACAATTTAACACAATTTTAATTAGTGTTAGTTTGTATTATCAAGTAATATCAAATTTGAAAAATGAATTAATATTTTTATCTTTAAAGAATTGTTCTGAATTTTTTTTTATTTTTTTACAAAAATAGTTTATAATAAAAATATAATAAATAATAATAAATATATACAATACCTTATAAAAGTATTTTAACATCAGACTTTTTGTCTTTAAAAAATTTTACAACTTAAACAAAAGATTTTAGATAATAGTTATTAAGCTTATTTTAATCTTTGAGATTTGAAAATTTTTTTGAAATGTTTTTAATATCAAATTAATAATTCTAATTTTATATAAACAGGTGCATCAGGAAATTTAATTAGGCGTCGATTTACGGAATATCACATGACCTCCGGAAATTTCCGCCTGAAAAATTTGA